TATTCATACATACATACACACAAACACATGCACCATACACACTGGCATTTTGTACATATGTCTGGAAAGAGCTATTCAATCTTAAATAACATGCTATTTATTTGCTAGTAAATAGAAAAAATTTGCTAGTTCTTTGTTCATATGGTAATTCACTTTAAAAGCAAGGTTTACTTGGGCCCTCCCTGGTGGCGCAGCGGGTTAGAGCAATGCACTAAGAAGCTAAAGCCACTTCCGCATGAGTTCAATTCCCGCCTGCCCCGGAGGTGACCACATGGCGCAGCAGACCTCTCCTGACCCGCCCCCTGCTTCCCTCAGCAGTGTACCTCGCCTATCTGCCTGTTCTGTTCCCCGCTCTGTCTCTGGTGAATCCTCTCACCCTCCGCATCTCTGGCCTGTACCCCAGCTCTATATTAATAAAAAAAAAAAAAAAAAAAAAAGCAAGGTTTACTTTTCTAGCAATGGCAAAAGGAAAAATAGGAGAATTTATAAAATGAAACTTGTTTATGACTTTGGGAATTTGTGCCAATCATTAGCAAGAATTATAACTAGAGACAGCTACCAATTTAAATCTAAAAACATCAAGAAATAAAAATATTTTAAATAATGAATTAAAGCAATCGATTTCACAAGTATCTAAACAATACTAAGACTATGTGCATGGTGGGGAGGAGGAGGGAGAGGAGTCAAAATGGGAGGAGAGAGCACAGGCACCATGCGACGCTCATGGGTGCTGTGGTGGTAGTAGAACTGGCGGGCTCCACTTGAGCGGAGACATCAAATATTGTGCAAAAATTAACAGACTAACTTAATGAAAATAGCATCATTTTAAAATTTTGAGTAAAATGTAATAATTATTTGTTTTTATAAATACACACTTCAAAATATTTTGCCAAACTATGTGCTAGTCTAAATTATTGCACCTAAAATTATATACATTATATTCAAATACATTATCTACATGTAACATTAATAAAATGTTCAATGCTTTAACCATAATTAAAGAATTATCCCATTCCTGAATTCTTTTAGGATTTTCTTAAAGGTTTTAGGTTTCATTATTATGCTAGTATCTCATTGAACACAGGTTATACAGTTGCTTGAAGAAAGCACAGAGTGATTCTTCCAATTTAACTCTGCTTTTTGTTTCATTATGTTTCTTGCACATATTAAACAATATCTTAGCAACTGCTAACTTGCTCTGTTGGAAATATATTGATAATAAAGTTGTTTTTCCTTTAATTCCCTTAATTTCACTCCTCCCACCCCCTTTTTTCTTTGGTTTTCTTTTGCCTGGGGACAGAGTCCTTCTTATTTAATTGAAAATGTCATAACCTATACATGTTGAAGTCATACCAGAGCGTAAGCCTCTTAGATTCTTAAAGTAATACCATATTAATCTCTGCTAAATATTTACATATTTTGCAATGTAAGTGTCTGTTTTTCAGTGCTATTGACTGTATACTCTCATGTGCCACTTGTCAAATAAACTCATTTCTAATATTCAACAAATGGTATTCATTTCAAGATTTCTAACATATAGTTTTGAAACACTAGAGTGATAGCTTTTGTCAAAACAAAGTACTAGCTGACAATTCAAAGACATACCATTTTCTGAATGGTGTATTGATGAGAGGAAATACTTGTGAACAAAAGGTGGAACTAACTGAACTCGGAGTCAGGTGTCCTAAGTTGAGAGCAAGAATAGAGCTCAGAATATATTGACAAAGTCTAATGGCTTGAATGACAGCTCAAAGACAAGATGGGATTTCACCCACTTTCAAAACATTACTTTTGTGCTCTACTTTAAAGTACCGACTGCTTTTCTTTTATTCAAATGATAGTAAATATTCAAGCATGGATGCAGGCTTTTATTTGCTCAAGAGTGGTAGGAGTAGTTATATTTTATTATGTTTCATTCAGCAACTAGAGCCTTTAAAAAGAGATTCTTAGGTGTATTTTATTGATATGTTCTTTAAATATGTATGCTACAGATCAATTTTATTTTTTCTAATTGAAAATACAAGGATCATGTAATAGAGAACAAATACTCTCAGTACATGTGATTTAATAAAATTATTTACCTCTAAAAGCTAAGATCAAGAGATGCAAACATCTGTCAGTATGCTAAAGGATGCAAATAATTCTAGCTGCTTTAGTGCTTTTTCTAGAAAATTAATCTGGAATCCTCTAGGATGTTGGATGGGTAATTCTAGAGACCTGTTACATTGCAATATTACTCTCAGGAAAAAAATTACTAGATACTTCAAAAACATGTAGCACTGTGAATGTTTTTGTGAATGGAAGATAAAAATCACATTATCAAGAAGAAATTACCCATGCAATCATCAGGTAAAATAATATGAAATAGGTTCAGAGGTTATGAGTTTGCAAGAGATATCGAAGGCTAATATGAAATAAAATTACACCCTTTAATTTTTAAAATAAGATGGCAGATCAGAAGTAGATCTCGTAGTAACCACTGTCAAAATCAAACTAGTTTCTTAAAGTTTGGGAGAAATATTATTTCCTTCCTCAAGACTTTTCCTTTTAGTTGAAATTAATCACTTCTTTTTGAGGGACAGCATCCTTTCTTATGTGCACCTCTTCCACAGACTTCAGTGTCTTTCACTGAGTGCACTGTGGATTCTTAAAAGCTCATTAAGTGGGGCCCACACTGGTGGCCAGTGGATAAGGACACAGCACAGCAAGTGAGCCACAGTACCTTAGTGTGAGTTCCATCCCAGCTGGAGGTGACCCACATGGCCCAGCAGACCTCTCCTGTCTCACCTGCTGCTTCCCTCAGCAGTCTACTTCATTGATCTGCCTGTTCTGCTCCCCACTTGTCTCTGGTGAATTCTCTCACTGCCCCTGTGCCTCTGGCCTGTACCCCAGTTCTGTATGAATAAATAAATAAATCTTAAAAAAAAAAGCTCATTAAGCATTTGTTGTTTTGTCTCTCTATGCCCTATCCTGAGGGCCAGGCATACCTACTAGTGGTTCTGTATTTTGAAGTCACCAATTTTCTAGGTCATGAAGATAAATGGCCGCACAGGCAACCATATCTATCGTTCTCTTATTTATTATTTCCCCCACGTTTTGACCCACCTCTATTTTCTGTTTCATTTAGTAACAGTTTTGAAGTTTAGCTGTCTGGAAATTAAATCATGAAAGATTTATGACCATAGAGTAACCAACTGTAGTTTAATCAATTTTGAAAAATGATTGTGGCCCTTTCAATTTTCACAGCTCCTTATGTAAAAGAACTGTGTAAC